CTAGATTAGATTAACTTAAAGGTTGCTTCAAACACACACCATCCTATGATCTACCCTCTTCTAATTCCCCCACGGGCATTTTAAGCTTTTAAAATAAGCACCATGATGTTTTCTCTTAAAGCTCTGTCCACAGCTGTGAGGATTTTTAGACGCACTCTCATTAACCTCTTCAAATGCTTTCCTTCCCTATTGTTGCCAGAAACCAAAAATCATCAGCCAGATATGTCTGTATATACTGGGGGGTTTATATCTACATACACGCAGCGTGCAGTTAACACAGCATGCAGTAACAAATACACGAAACAGGGCTTCAATTCCCTGTGGTTTCTACCCTGGCATGGATCTGTTCAGAACGCAGCTCCTGTGTCAGGCAGCTCAGCCTGCACTGTGCACTGCCTCACACGGCAGACACCTGGTCCGCAGCTTCAGACTGTAATTGCTTTAAGATGTGCTGTCTTTTAATTTAAGCTGCCAAGCTAAACCTTTAGTACACTTTCAGCACGTTCTGCATTCCTAGATAATCTTGCACGCACAATGTGTGATGTCTTTATGAGAGCGTCTTCAGACGACTACACTCCCAGCAAGAAACCTACAAACTTTTAAAGTTTGGGGCAAGCAGGGTCAGTGGCCAAAGAACTTCACCTCCACACTACGAGGTAAGGAGTGACACCTGCGAACAGCTGGGCACCTGAAACTTCTGGACGCCAGGAAAGTGTGACTTGGAAGGTGAAGATACGGTAGCTACGGCCAGACACCCACCCCGCACCACAGGAGCGCCCCCGAGCACTCGGCAGACACGGCCAGCGGGCAGGGGGGTGGCAGCGCGGCGCCCAGCGAGCGCAGGGCCCGCAGGGACAGCCCCGCACCGGGNATGTTGTTGTGGGTTTTTGGTTTCTTCAGGGCTGTGTTCTGTCTGGAATACCTCCTCAAAAGGGAGTTTCCCTTATCTCAGTTCTGTTTCAGAAAAGATTCTCCAAAGGCTTGTTTGCTTCTTGTTTCTCTTGTTTATTAGTATATAGTATCAAAATACTTGGCAGGTATTCCCCAGACTTTCTGCAGAAGTTCAACCCAACACAGCTTCGATATATATTGATCAAATATCAATATATATCAAATATCAATAGGTATCAACTATCAATATATATATATATATATCAAATATATATGTTTGATATATATTTTGGCTTGAATGGCACAAAATGCCCTCAAACCACAGAGTTATTTTATCTTTAGACTTATTTTTACCCAATTAACAATAGAAAAGTAAATTATTTTCCTTAGCGATCCAATGACCTATTACCTGTGTGCTGCATTGAGGCATTTTCTATCCAATCACTTGTTACTACCCCAAAACCTCTAGAAGATGAAGAAGAAAGAAGGAAAAGAGACAACACCCTAAATCCTCCATCTTGTCTTCTGTTTTCTAAACTAGCTTAAACTCTAACTTTTTCACCTAGTGACTTAAGAAAATTCTCTAATCTACACACTTACACTTTTAGTTTTTCTGTTTAACAGTTGTTTTTAGGGTGTTGTATGAAATTCAGTGTTTTTATTGGAGGTCAGAGTTAGGTATCAGAGACAAGGGCACACACTCTGTCTCAGAATCTAACACTCTTTTCAGGTGAAGGAAAGTGTACCTTGACTTTCTCCACCTAACAGAATGCTTCAAAATGCCTTTTGTTAGGTGTCACTCCATCTGCTTCTGGATACCTTTCTTGGCTTTCAGGCCAATGGAGTCCTCCCTCATGGCAGGTGGCACTCTTTGTGTTAATCAAAATGGGCTATGCTGAGAACAACCACCCCACATCTGTACTGGTCCCTGCCACCCTGCCATAAGCTTATTCAAATATTTCCTGAAGTAAATTTCAGAGGCTGCTTGCTCACTGGAGTCATTGAGTGCAAGAGTGACACTCAAGGCTGGGGATGGCCATTACCCTGCCCAGTGAGCAGATCAGCTTAGAGCTGCCCAATCATCCTTGAACAGCCTTATTGCTCTCCCTTGGCAAAATTCTTCTGCCCAAGCAATTTCTCCCAGTTCTCCAGAACATCGCACACAGATGCCTCCTCACATAAAGCTGGGATATTTCCCATCATATCAAAAAGTACAAGGGACATGAAACTCCTTTTTGCATGCCAAGAAGGGACTTCAGCCCCCTGTGCCTGGGGACCCTAGCACCCACTGTGTGGCACAAGGGACACAAAGCTCTCACTGTGCCTGTCTCCAAAACCCTTCAAGCAGAGACTCAAGCATCCTAGCAGAGACTTCAGCTCTCCCTCCACCCCTTGCACCTTGGGAGTCCTCCACAACTCCTCTGTGGCCGCCTTACACGGACCATGCTGCACATGCCTTCTCCACCCTCTCTCTACCAGTGATTTCACCAAATCTGCACCAAATGCTGCAACAACAGAGAGGCTCAAATCCACCCTTACCATTTACATAGAATCTGTGCATGGAATTGTAACACTCCCCCTTTGGCTCCATTCTGCTCTAAAAATCCCAGGTAAACTCACCTGCTGCACGTTTGGAGAAGGGGGGCTCCAAGTGTACTTCTCTACAGTCCTGTCTGGGATGCCATAGCGCTGAGGAAACTCCCCCGTGTGACTATTCCAAGGCAAGGGTTGCTCCAGCGAGCTAATGGATGCTCCATTTAATTCCCTACCCATTCCACTGTCACCCAGACAGAGCAGATTTCCACACCCATTCAGCCCCATGAATCCCCCAGCATACTTGCCATCAATGTCATGTTCAATAAAGAGCCACCGGCTCCTGCTGCCACACTCAGTGTCCATTTCAAACCCCTGGTGGAACAGCTCCCTGTGCCCTCTGTTATGCAAAGTGTAGGGATTTCACTGCCTCTTGTCCTGGGCTCCTGTCAGCCAGAGCTCAATCTGCAGCTGGCACTGCAGCTGCACAGCCAGCTCCCTGCCCCAAATGGATTCCTCAGCAGCTGCCTTCCCTGGGGACTACACAATCTCATCCTGCAGAAAGAGTGGCTTAAAGACAGCAGCAGCGAG